AGAACCATCCCATCCATCCCCCTACCCCCCTCCCCTACCCCCCTTCCCCATCCACGCCCCTCCAAGACCACCATCCCCATCCACTCCCCCTACCTCCCTCCCCCCCTCCCCTCGCCCCTCCAAGACCACCATCCCCATCCACTCCCCCTACCCCCCCCTCCAAGACCACCATCCCCATCCACTACCCTACCCCCCCCCTCCCCCTCCAAGACCACCTTCGCGATGCACAATTAGTCGGGCGAGTGACATCCGGGACTCGTACCTGTCCGCCGGCCGCCATATTGGTCGCTGATGCCTTCTTCAGCTTGTCCCTTCTCTACGTTTTTTTTTTTTTCTTCTTTCTCTCTCTCTCTCTCTTTCATATTTCTCTTCTTTTTTGTTGTCTTTTTCTTTTGTTGTTTCAGTTTTTTTTCTATTTTTCTTCCTTTTTGTTGTGTTTTTTTCTGGGTTTTTTCTCTTTTTTCTTCTCTCTCTCTCTCTCTTTTTTTTTTTTTCTTTCTTTATCTAAACCCGTCCTTTTCCGCGGCTTCGTTCCGCTGTCGACACCGAAGCACGATGACGGCGATGATGCTGATGAATGAGTGAGATAAAAGAGAGAGAGAGAGGAGAGATAGAGATGGTGGGGGCAGAGAGAGAGAGAAGAGAGAGAGTAGAGAGAGAGAGAGAGAGAGAGAGAGAGAGAGAGAGAGAGAGAGAGAGAGAGAGAGAGAGAGAGAGAGAGAGAGAGAGAGAGAGAGAGAGAGAGAGAGAGAGAGAGAGAAGAGAGAGAGAGAGAGAGAGAGAGAGAGAAGAGAGAGAGAGAAAGAAAAAGAGAGACTGAGACACACAGACAGAGAGGGAAAGGAGAGATGCTGTATGTCGGGAAAAAATAAACAATATTGATGACTCAAAACATTTAAAATGACCCGAATAAAACACTCATATAATTAATATTCACCTGATCTTACCTGTTTACTTGTCGATATTGAGAACAGACAGCTTGAGCGAAAATGTTCAATTACTGATGTCTCCAAAAAAGATATTTATCCGTGTCACACAACAGAGTTTTATAAAAAATATTTTTTTCCCTTGTACAGAAAGTGGACGATTCAAATATATATATTTTCCCTTCCCTTCTTGTACAGAAAGTGGATGGCATTTATGGCAATTGCAACATAAAAAAAAAGATGGTTTCGCATGACCGAATGATAAATTAGATAATCAATAATATTTATGCCAATAGGGACCAGTCGCTGTTGATCAAGACTGCATCACGGTTGATATTGCACTCGAAATGTTGCAGTCACAGCGCGAATTCCGATATGTAGCGAGGATGAGGACGCATGCAACATAAATCGCATTCACAACATGTTCTTCCTCCCTCCTTCTCCCCCCCCCTCCAAAAAAAAGATATAAGAACATAAATCGCATTCACATGTTCTTCCTTCCTCCCTCCCTCCTTCTCCCCCCCCCAAAAAAAAAAGAACTTAAATCGCATTCACAACATGTTCTTCCTTCCTCTCTCCCTCCTTCTTCCCTCCTTCCTCCCTCCCTCCTTCTTCCTTCCTTCTCCTTCTCCTTCTCCTTCTCCTCCCCCCCCCCCCCCTCAAAAAAAAGAAAAGGAATAAAACATGAAGAACGCACAGAAAAAACATCGTCATCATTATCATGAAAAGAAAAACATGAATAACGCACAGAACACAAAAACGAAGCGAATTGTTGTTATTATCGAGATAAAGAACAGCAATCATCGTAATTAAATTGATTAGAAGTGGATCTCGACCTTAAAACTATTTGTGGTTTCGCTATCGTAAGAACGATGATGATGAATATGTTTGATGATGACGATGATGATGATGACGATGATGACGATGATGATGGACGATGATGATGATGATTGATGACGATGATGATGATGACGATGGTGATGACGATGAGATGATGATGATGACGATGATGATGATGACGAGATGACGATTGATGATGATGACGATGATGACGATGATGATGATGAGATGATGATGATGATGATGACGATGATGATGATGAATATGTTTGATGATGACGATGATGATGATGATGATATGTTGGTGATGATGATGAATATGTTTGATGATGATGATGATGAATGATGTTTGATGATGACGATGATGATAATGAAGAAAACTCAAAATAAATAACGGAAAAGGAGATGAGGAAATGAGAAAGGGAAGGAAAAAAACTCAAAAAAAGAACAAACGCAAAAAAGAACAAGGATAAGGAGTGAACGGGGGAAGGAAGAGGAATAACAAGACAGAACACGAGGAGAGGAGAACAAAGAAGAGAGAATAACGAGACAGAACACGAGAGGAGAACAAGGAAGAGAGAATAACGAGACAGAACACGAAGAAGAGGAGAACAAAGAAGAGAGAAGAAACAACAACACGAAGAGAGGAGAACAAGACAGAACACGAAGAGAGAATAACAAGACAGAACACGAAGAAGAGGAGAACAAGGAAAAGAGAAGAAACGACAACACGAAGAGAGAATAACGAGACAACACGAGAAGAGGAGAACAAGGTCGTTACGGCAAACGACCACACGAGCGCAAAGGGGCGAAGGGAACATCATCGTGCTGGACAAAAGAGCACTTGAATGCGCCGCGTTGAACAGGAAGAGACAATAACACCCGAAGGAGGGAGGAGGAGGAGGAGGAGGAGGAGGACGAAGGCGGTGGAGGAGTGGAGGAGGTGGTGGTGAGAGGGAGGAGGTAGGAGGAGGAGGACGAAAGAGGTGGTGGTGGGAGGAGGGAGAGGAGGACGAAGGTGGTGGGAGGAGGAGGAGGTGAAGGGGTTAGAAGATGAAGAAGAAGAGCAGGAGAAGGAGGATGGGTGGGAGGAGGTGAAGGAGATAGGAAGAGGTTGGGAGGGAAGAGGAAGAAGACGGGAGAGAGGAGGAAGTGGGAATTAGGGAGAGGGTGCGAGGAGGAGGAGAGAAGTGGGGCGTGAGGGCGAGGGAGTGTCCTGAAAACTTCCTCCTGAAGGCGCAGAAGGTGTGGATACGCGAGGAAGAGATACGTCATACTTACGTATCCGTGTAAATGTTTCTACCCCTATGTATTTGCCTCTAAGCGTCGCAATAATACTTAATAAAGATAAAATACTTAAGCAATAAGTAATACCTAACTTATACGTGCATGTAAATGTTTATACCTGTATGTATTCGCCTCTAAGCGTCATATGCGTGTGCGTATGTGCGTATGTGCGTACGTACACGGGAGGCGGCGGGTGACATACCAGAGCGGCGAGGTAGCAACACTTAATTGGGAAAGTGTCACGCTGACCGGCCGCCTGATGAGCTCCTGACGCGGCTGACAGTCTACACGCTCCTTCGGCCTTATTACCGCGTGTCAGGGCCTTGTGTCGGCAGAGCGGAGGCTGAGACGGTCCTCGGGTTTGGGCTCTTTCTCTCTTCGCTCTCTTCGCTTCTCTTCTCCTCTCTTCCTTCTTTCGTTCTTCATTTTTTTTTTTTTTTTTGTCTCTTTGAGGGTTTGGGCTCTTTCTCTCTTCGCTCTCTTCTCTCTTCCTTCTTTCGTTCTTTCGTTCTTGATTTTTTTTTTTTTTTTTTTTTTTTTCTCTTTGAGGTTTGGGCTCTTTCTCTCTTCGCTCTCTTCTCTTCTCTTCTCTTCTCTCTTCTCTCTTCCTTTTCGTTCTTGATTTTTTTTTCTTTGAGGGTTTGGGCTCTTTTCTCTCTTCGCTCTCTTCTCTTCTCTCTTCCTTCTTTCGTTCTTGATTTTTTTTTTTTTTTTTTTTTTTTTTTTTTTGTCTCTTTGAGGGTTTGGGCTCTTTCTCTCTTCGCTCTTCTTCTCTTCTCTTCTCTTCTCTCTTCCTTCTTTCGTTCTTGATTTTTTTTTTTTTTTTTTTTTTTTTTTGTCTCTTTGAGAAGGAGAAGAAGAGAGGAGGAGATATAGATGGAGGAGGAGAGTTAGGAGAGGAAAAAAATAGTAAGAAGAGATGGAGATGGAGGAGGAGGAGAAGAAGAAGAAGAAGAACAGATGGAGATGGAGGAGGAGGATTAGGAGAAAAAGAAGAAAAGATAAAAAGAAGAAGAAGAGGGAAGAGGAGGAGGAGAAGAAAAAAAAAAACAAAAGAAAAGAAGAGATGGAGATGGAGGAGGAGGAGGATTAGGAAGAAGTAAGAAAAATTTTAAAAAGGAAGGAAGAAAAGAAAGCTCGGAACAGCAAAAGGGAAAGGGGTTGAGGGGGATAGAGAAGTATGGGGGGAGGCACCGAGGAGCATCACGAGGGTGTAGTGAGAAGCGGAGGGGCGGG